ATACTGCTGCAAGGGACGGTTCTCTTGGATATTGCTACAGTCTACAAACCACGAAAGCTGCAAGACCGCATGACCTGAGATTGTGTAAAAATGCTTTACAAACCAATGCTGACTGCTGGGGTGTGAGGGGCACACAACAAGTATGAAAGGGACATAAGTTGGGCTCTATAGAAATGTGTTTAGCCTTTTGGCAGCATGATTCCACTTATGCCTAGCCATGGCCTCCTCTAGAACACCCCTGTGGTTTGATTAACCAATGACAACCCCCCCATAGACCTGTCCATAGTCCACTGTATTTAGGAACACCTCTGCAAGGGATGTTTATTTTGGGTATTGCTACAGTCTATAAACAACGAAAGCTGCAAGAACGCATGACCTGAGATTATGTAAATATATTGGCAATTTCTGTCCTAACTTCTATTTATTTTTGGAAGCCCTTTTTAGGCTCCACTTTTTGTGTCTTTTGTCTTTGATAAGATATCCTTCATTGATGCCTTTTTAATGCCATTATTCACGGCCTTCACCTTTTATTTGTGTTCATTTTCAGGGCAGAAGTAGTATTAGGAAACATCATCAAGAAGAAAGGTTGGAGGTAATTATTTGCACTTTAAAGCTGTGTGATTAATCTTTTATGTGGTGACCAGTTTCATGTGCACACTTCTTGCTCTGGAATGAAAAAAGGCTGCGGTGAATTATTCATGCAGCCAAATACTACAGCTTAATTTCTTGATATCTTGTTGGGTATTAAACTCGCGTGCCCTGTGCAAGCCTACATATCCCATCATGCATTGCTTCCAACAAGCGATGATGATGATGATACATTGTTCAGATGGAAATTTAATATAAAAATACAGATTTATGTTTAGTTTTGGCCCATAGATACCCTTCAATAATGAGAACTAATGCAGTCACCATATCTAAGGACTGGTAAGCTGTTTTGTTTTGGATTTTGTTATGCTTTAAATTACATCCAAAATCCCCAATGTGATAATCAAAACAGGTTACTGTGTGATGTACAGACATCATCGTCCTTTACTTCCCCTGAGTAAGCAAAATCTTCCTTCCAATCAGCATTGAGCCGGCGTCACGGCCAATCAGGAAGCCAGAAGGCGGGTTTTTAATTACCGCCTGGCTTCCTGATTGCACGTGAAACTGGCTCCATGTTCCCCTACGGCACTGCCAGTCAGAGAAAATCTTCCTCTGCCGGAAGTTCCGGTATCGGGGAAGGTATCGGAGCAGTTGGGCAAGTATGAATACTCGGTATCAGCACCGATATCGATACTAGTATCGGTGCATCCCTATATATTAAACTTCAAAAACTGTTTTTATGACGCAATAGATAAAAATGTTCTTCCTTTAATCTTGTTATATTTCTTCTTCTTTTTTTTTTCCCAGACGGTCCAGTTTGGTTATTACAACCAAAATTTTCTGGGGAGGAAAGTAAGTCATTAAAATTATTTCTACATCCTTGTGTGTTTGTACATTGAAACTAAACTCATCGATAACTTTTCTATGTTATAGGGCAGAAACTGAAAGAGGTTTATCCAGAAAACATATAATTGAAGGTAGAGTGTCATTTTCTCCCTTATATTAGTCGGTCTATAAGTGATGCAATTAAGAGCCAGCTCCAGTCAGTCCTATTACTTAGGCTTATTATGGCAGTTGGCAAATGGAATGACGTGTTGTATTCTTGTATGTATCGGCCACTTCACTGCAAAGACATCCCCACCTCCACTGTTCACAGTTCTGTCCTACTCTTGTGGCCATTACATAGCTAATTGATGGCATCAAGAGTTGCTCCAAGGAATCCGTCTGTGAGAAGGTTGACATCTTTATTATGACCTTGTGGGGGAGTTTGGATACCAAACTAAGCAGAAAAATCTCTGCACTGGGGATCTCTGAGATTTATAAGAAACCAGAGCCAGTTAGTACACACTATCAATTGGTACCAGTGTAAGATTTAGTGGAGGTGACCTTTTAAGATGAAATTAATATTTTTTGAATGTGAAGTATAGGGTTGGACTTTCTGATATTTTTAGGAAATGTTTCTACAGCCATCTAAACATTTCCTAGAAAAAGGACATTTATATTAGCAAATGAATGCACTTTACCTCTCTTAGTATTTTTTGTTATTTTTTGTAATACACATGCCACAATGATCAGGCTAATGTACATACATTACAGGTCAATAGGTTTCGGTTCCAAGAACCCCACCCTGTTGGTATTTGATGGAGAACAAAAGTGTAATTAAAAAAAACACTGCCCTACTTGTCCTGACCCCAAACTTCAAAGGCCAACTCCAGCCAAAACTTTTAAAAGTAAGGAAGGGTCAGGTAATATATGGTGCTTCCGGTTACAGGGGAGTATTGGCCCCCTCCCAGGATGCAGTGTTGAGGACTGAATGACCAAGCCCTTGTCCTGAACTATCACATGAGGGAGGGGAGGGGGGTCATGAAACTTGTGTAAGCACTGACACAATCCCACACATTAACCTTAGCCTAACCCTAAAAAATACATAACCCATAAAATATAATGGATGGGCCAAACCAAGCCGCTTCACATCCAGCTGCTTTTGAGAGTTTGCTCAATTTCTTTTACGCTTTTAAAAACATAAATTTTGAGTACAGTATTGTGTGACACAATAAAGAATCTGTCTTCTGTAGCCAAGCCATAAGATACAATCAGATCTGTTCAGACAGAAATGCCCAACTGGACTGGAACACCTCAGGAGGACTTTCATAAACAGGTCTACAATCCAGTGCCAAGCAACTCGCAGATCAGCAAAGCGCTAACACCCCCTGAACCAGTCTTTTACAATATAAACAGGCTAAAAAGGATAGTCCGGTCCCACTGGTGATCACCTACAACCCACACCTAGAGGTTCACAAAAGAGTTCCAGCCTGTTCTCCACAGATGAAAGAAAATATTTGCGGAAGCACTTCTCTTATCATCTAAGACTGCTTATTGGAAGAAGTTCCCTAAACAGCTCAGTACTACATGGAACATCTCTCTCCATATAGAAAACATGTGAAACCTGCATATACAGGTGAAACTCGAATAATTAGAATATCGTGCAAAGTTCATTTATTTCACTAATGCAACTTAAAAGGTGAAACTAATATATGAGACTCATTACATGCAAAGCAAGATAATTCAAGCCGTGATTTGTCATAATTGTGATGATTATGGCTTACAGCTCATGAAAACCCCAAGAACCCCAAATCCACAACCTCAAAAAAGTAGATTATTACATGCAATCAATAAAACAAGGATTCTACATAGAACAATATCGGACCTCTGAAAAGTACAAGCATGCATATGTACTCAGTACTTGGTTTGGGCCCCTTTTGCAGCACTTACTGCAATTACTTTTGCATGATATTCTAATTATTCGAGTTTCACCTGTATATATCCATGGCACCAATATGGTACCAGTTCTGGGATCACAGCAGGGTTCTTTTTACTGCAGATCCTCAAACGTAGTTTATCTAAATTTGTGTGCAAATTTCCTTAAAAGACTCCTTTAGAGAGACGAGTCAAAACCTTCGCCAACGGATTAACAATGAGCAACAACAAAACAGTAGTACCTGTAGTGGCCCATTTCTGCAGCACAGGCCACAGGGTAATGGATCTCAAGATTATTCTACTGATGAGGAGTGGGGAGCAGCTGGAATGGGAATGTAAATTCTCACAAAGATTCAGAACTCTAGATTAGGATCTAAATAGGGGCAGGAATTTTATGTGGCCACTATGGTTTTAATGGAATTTTTGTCAATGAAGCCTAATTTTCCTCATGCCCTTGATCAAAGGAATATGGACATTTCAAAAGGACTCTCATCCTGAGTTTGCTTGAATGTCTTATCTCCCAGTCAATTAGCACAATAACAGTCTTAAGCTATATTTTATTATTCACGTGTGTCAAGAAAATATAATTGTATTACATTGCTTCTCTGGTATATTGACATTTTAAAAGGACTTTGAATTGCAGTGATGATTGTACCAAGACTCTTTGTCTTTGAGTCAATGACCCCAATAAAGCTAGCCATACACGGTTAGATTTCTCTCATTCAGCCTACGGGGCTGCATGCATTCATAAATATTGTTGCAAAATAGGGATGTTCAGATACCAAGTACTGTACAGACATTCCTCGTTTTGCCACTTACCTGCTTTGCGACCACTCGCACTTATGACCGTCCACCGATCGACCTCCGACCTTGCGCGTCAGCGTCAGTGCTACGTGTCGCGGCGGAAGTGATGTCCTCCGTTCTTCGCTGCGGGTCCCGGTAAGTATTTCATTGCCCGATGTACAGTACACTGTTCGGTACTGTACATCTGCAACACTATACAGTACTGTACTAATGCAGTACAGTACTGTATAAAGTTCCTCACTTAACAACCTGATACTTTTCCAGCTCCAAGACTAGACTAGAGAAAAATTCAAAACTTAAGAGGCAGCTGTCATTTTTAAGGAGCACACGGAGCTCCTGGGATTTGTGCGTCCCTGTTTTAATGTATGATTATTTTTATAAATATATATAAGAGATGCACCGATACAATTTTTACAAGTACTGATACTTGTCCAAGTACTCACAGGTACAAGTACTGATACATTTTTGTTTGTCATGTGACAATTTTTCTAAAACAATACAGAGGAATGATTTCAGGATGGTCGTGGAGCACCAGAGCCAGGTCCCAGCTGCAACCCTAGTAGTTCACGTGATCGGTATCTGAACTGGTAGCTGAACATTCCTACTGCAAAATGGTTGTGCCTTGCTGATCCTCATTCCCAGTGCAAGTCTACCAGTCTGATTGATAGAAGACAAGGCCCACTGTGGGCTTCTAAAATTTCCAATGGTTGTTTGATTACTGTTAAATGCAAATTAGATCAGCATTGTATGTTGCCCTAGTGGCCAATTATGCACATAAAAAGGTTTGAATTTTTGCTCAGTTGGGTGGCCACCCTTCCACTTGCTCAGCATATCGTCAATTCATAACTAGGAAAGGGAATTCAGCGCCAACTGTACAATGCAGACTCTTAACAAGCCCCAAAACTGTATGAGGATGTCGGGTATTGAACTTCAGTCTAGCTGCTCCCTCACATTACAAGTTCAGTAGGTTGGCTTGTATCCGAACTGCTTCTCAATATCAAAACCATATCTTGCATTTTAATGTTTTCCTTTTGTATCTCATACTTAGGGGCATAATTATTAAAAGCAAGGGAATGTTACACACATTAGCTTGTCTATGTTCCTCCACCCTAACTTTTTGGAACAGTGAAAGCGTATCATGGTGGGCAAAGGAGGATTTTAGTTTGAAGTCCTCATTTGCAACGTGGAAGAGCAGAATATGATTGTGCGCTGACAATAGTTGATCATTTATTAAAATGATTTTACAGCGTCAGATGTTTCGGAGCAATTGGTTGCTTTGAATGTAACATTGACCTAATTTATAAATACAGCCAATGTTACTAAGACTTAAACCCATTTCCACCTTTGCAGAGGTATTTTTTTAAATGCATATGCCAGCAATGTACACTGAGTGAACATAAAGCCGGCACATGCAGTTGCTGTATATGAACACACAAACTTAATGTTTTTGTTAGCTGATCTCTCCATATCCTCATGGAAATGGCCTCCTCTGTGCTCTACAAGCAATGTGTGTATATTACAACTGAGTTCTCTCTGAGCTCTCTCTCCTCCATTCATTAGTATTCACTGTGGTACTCCCTCTGGATAGTGTATTGTGTGTAAAGGCAAAGCTGGTGTTTAGTGATCATGTTACACAGAATCACAGGTAGGGGGGCAGCTGTTTACAGGCTGCTTTACAATCTGACCCCGGTGTCAGACTGAATTTCCTGTGGAGCAAATGTTTAATTTGTAGGATTCGGGCCTAAGAAAAAAAAATGAAGAAAGCCTGCAATGTGAGTCATTAAAAATTATGCACATGTATATATCATCCCTGCACCACTTCATTACCACAATAAATGCTAATCACTTACAAAGGTGGAAGTGGACTTTAAATTTCTCATTGAGGAATGGTAAATCCAGATTTTCCATGAACAGCAAAAGTATAATACTGCACCGACCAGATGGGTGGATGAGATGAGTGAATATCTTTTATAACTGTGGTCAGTATGCTGGAGGTTGGGTAAACTATCAGCAAGTGCAAGACATATAGATCAATACTTTATACATATGCCCCTTAGATTACAGTCTTGTTGTTGCAGAGATTCTGGAGATGCTGTCTGCAATGTGTTATTAATGGTCTGCTTCATTGTTATTAAGGTTTAAAAGCTTCTCTAGAAAGACTACAGCTAGAATATGTGGATGTTGTGTTTGCTAACCGTCCTGATCCCAACACTCCAATGGAAGGTAAGATGTCCTCAATTTAAGAGAAGTGTGTTATCTCATGTAGATGCAGCATTTGAATAAGAATATGATGAGGTTTATTTCACATGATGGAGTTTGTAGCAACGCATTGGAAATGGGGGTCTGTTCACTCAAACAAAACACATGCAAATGTTTCATTACCAGTTGCTATTTGCTCAGACAAATGAAATCATGTTTCCAGTTTGGGGACACAGTCAGTCTTAAAAGAGAACTACGGGATAAGTGTTTTTCCCCAGTTTTGAAAGTTTTCACCTATCTAGAGGCAGAGTCAGCTGTACCCGCCCCTTCTCCCGTCCGTTCCTCCACTCGGCACTGGAGGATCGGAGCAGGAGTGGGGGGAATCCCTGCGGGGTTTGCTCACTTCCCGATCTATTGAGCCGACGTGTGACAGTTTCATTGTCACACGTCGTCTCGAATTATGAGGATAGATCCTCATAGTTCTCCTTCAAATAGTTGACCGATGTTTTAACCTTTTTTCATTATATCCAAAACTTTTAAAAAAAAATTTGATTTATGAGGAGTATAAAATAACTCATACAGCTTAGTGAACCGACCCATTATGTCCTCACATTGGGTGTTCGCATTTAATATTTGTCTGTATGCTGGTTAAAATAGGTGCCCACATTTTAAAACTGGCACATGAATATTGTGTGTCCTCTTTAGATTTTTAGGTCAGAGATGATGTAACATTTCCTAAAATATTTTCTCTATGGTATTTAATTCATTCATGCACGGCATGTGCTGTGAATACTCAGGGGTGGCCAAACTGTGGAGCTCCAGCTGTTGTGAAACTACAAATCCTATAAGGCATTGCAAGACTTTGACAGCCACAGGCATGACTCCCAGAGTCATGACGGCATTTGTATTTTCAACACAGCTGGAGGGCCGGAGTTTGACTAGCCCTGCTCTAGATACATACCTTAAAGTGGAACTCCTGGCAAGATTCAAAGTACAGCACATTTGTCTTTTTGGGGTGGATACATAAAGAGCCATAAAAGTGCTGGAATGTTTACTTTCCTGGAGCAATTGCCAGTCACATGTCCAAATACATTGGGATACAGCCAAGTAGCCCTCGGAAACGCGTGTGTGTCGCGTGATTTTTTGTACCGCGAATCGCGCTAAAAAAACACGCGACAGACGCGCATATGCAATACGCCTAGGTGTGAACCAGGACTTACTCTTCAGCCTTCTTTTACGCTTCAGCTTTCTTTTACTCTTCAGCCTTCTTTTACTCTTCAGCCTTCTTTTACTCTTCAGCCTGCTTTTACTCTTCAGCTTTCTTTTACTCTTCAGCGTTCTTTTACTCTTCAGCCTGCTTTTACTCTTCAGCCTGCTTTTACTCTTCAGCCTGCTTTTACTCTTCAGCCTTCTTTTACTCTTCAGCCTTCTTTTACTCTTCAGCCTTCTTTTACTCTTCAGCCTTCTTTTACTCTTCAGCCTGCTTTTACTCTTCAGCCTGCTTTTACATTTAATTCATTTAGCTTTATTAGCAGTTGAACGTCGGTCCACTTCATTTAATATTTTTTAAGATCCTAATTTTTTTGTATGTGTAAAACAATAAATCGAGGCAACTGGACTTTTTTTTTTTTAAAGACATTTCGCTGGTCATCCGACTAGCTTTCTCAATTGAGTAAATTCCGAAGAGAATTTTTGTACAAGTGGATTGAGAAAGCTGGTCATATGAAAAATACAAGTCCAGTTGCCTTGATTTATTTTTTTACAGATATAACGTGACTTTTTTAGAGACAACTCGTTTTTTATGTTTCTTCTAATGAATCGTTATCCAACGGTTGACTTCAACATGGAGGGTAAAATGCCCCATTTCATCTCTGCCCACAAAAATCCAGTATACAAACATACCTAGGGCTGTAGCTAATCATTATTTTAATAATCGATTAGTTGGACGATTATTTTTTAAACTAATCGATTGGTTGCATTTAAAAAAAAAAAGTTTTTCTCTTTTCTCTCTCTCTCTCTTTTCTCTCTCTCTCTCTCTTTTCTCTCTTTCTCTCTCTTTTCTCTCTCTCTCTCTTTTTTCTCTCTCTCTCCACCAACTATTGTCTTAATCGATTATTATCGATTTAGTTGTTGCAGCCCTAAACATAACCACAGTGGTGAAGAAACAACTTCCCTGTGCCATAAGCTTGGATCTGCCCCTTCCTAGGCAATGAGTACCCACAATGGTGCAAAATACAGCTTCCTCATAGCTGTCTGGGAATGCATATACTCCATATGATGGATTATTTGCAGCCACGCTATGCTGCATGATGATAAAGTAGCACCGTCTGCTGCTTCCCTCCCCTGGTCAACCGTGCGTCAAACTCAGTTAATGCCTCAAAGGAGCACCACAAAAAAAGTGCAGATTTATTTTCTCTATAGTGCCAGTCAGTGTCACTTGTTCGGCCTAGATTTGTATTTAGCCCGGAGTTCCACTTTAAACTTGTTTTCCTAAAAAAATATTTACATAAGTGTTAAATGACTGATATTGGGCTCAGTTCACTAACTTGGAATGGTTTGCTGTTATGATCAGTCACATGGCTGAAAATAATGTTCGCTGTGATTGATAACACTGACATTTATACCTGAGCGGCTTGAGCCTAATTTGGATTCAATTGCAAGTGTGTTTCTTGATTAAAAAAACAAAACATGTAAATCTAAAAAAAGTAACAATTCAGGGACTACAAGGGTATTGCTATTATTATTATTGATGTATTTTAAACTGGAATGATCTTTGTGCCAGTGTTTAGCTTACATGCCCCGTTGTATCATGATATACGGTAAAGCTCACTCCTCCATGCATTTCATTTTTTTTATCATAAATCATTTGCAAATATTAATGCTGAATTGTAGTTTGTTGATTACTTACTCTGCTGTAATAGTTTGAACAGTTTTCTTATTTTATCATTTCATTTTCTGAATTATTTGCATTAATAAGGATGTAAACATTGTTAGAAATACAGTTTACTTTATTCGTTTTTTTTTTGGTTTTTTTTATGGGAAACTATAGATTTAGGAATAGGATTATCCTTCAACTTTGCTTTTATATGCAAACTTCAAAAATTAACTTGAATTTTTTTGGAATATTTACACTTTTTTGGAGAACCTCCTCACTCATTAAAAAACTGACGTTTCAGTTGACTTAAAATTCAGTCTTTATCTTACACAACCTCGGGATAAACTTCCAGCAATATATACATATCAATATATGTGTGATTCAAGCTCATGTTTAAAGTGGAACTCCTTTAAAAAAAAAATTCAGGCAGCTATAATTCCCCTTTTTACCGGCAATATATATTTTTTCATGTGCAGCTAGTGGTCATTATTCCCTCATGAGTCCCTCATGCTATATAGTTATGTACCAACTCTGTTGGTGACCTGTGGCTGGATCATGAAACTAAAGATATGAGGATGCTACTCTACTTGCAGCTTATCTTTAAAAGAAATGTATAGTGTTTATTTTTTAATTAAAGAAATAGGAAATCTTGCATATGATTTTCATATGTATCATTTGCAGCAAGTAGATACCCACCTCTTAGCCAGAATACCAGATTTCTGAAGCCTCATATAATAGATCAGAGACACACTGCAGAATAACTCCCTAAAAGTGTAAAATAAAAGTTATAGCCACCCAAGCCTCTGAGCCAGCAGCACTCCCTCCAGCCTCTCTCCTCTGCTGCAGTGATGGTATGTCCGTCATGGTCCTAACGTCCAATACACTGCATTGGATGTGATGACTCCGAGACCACTGCAGCAGAGGAGAAGAGACACTCAAGGACCGCACTAAGAACCGGCTCGTGAACTTCCTTGCAGTGAGTGCCAGGCAACTAGCATCTTCAGAAGGAGATCAGGAAAAACAATATTTTGAAGCCCAACACCAGCCTTTTTACCTTTTTTCTTTTGTCTGTGTTCTTGCGGTAAAGCGGGGGTGGGCCAGCTCCATCCATCCAGCTGTTGTGGAACTACACATCCCATGAGGCATTACAAGACTAACAGTTACAGGCATGACTGCCAGAAGTAGAAGTATTTGGGATTTGTATTTAAAGCACACCTGGAGGGCCGGAGTTGCCCACCCCTGCTGTAAAGATTTCCAAATAATTCCTGCCCTGACGGGAAGTGAGGGGGAATCTCCCAAATGGGGCCACACACCAAGCAAGACAAACCTGGCACCGGGTCTAAGCATTCCCCGCTCTATTATAAACCAATGGAATTGTTTGTTTGTTTTTTTAACACCAAGCCGGATAGACCCGTGTGATTGAATCCGCTTTGCAGGCTGTGCATTCAAGAATGTAGTGCTGGGCTTTCTTCCTGAAAACTCCCTGATATGCAGACTGAGTATTAATGGATACGCTATGTATTACTTGTGTAAAAATAAATAAAATGATCAAATCAAGCTAGCAAACATTAGAAAATTGACATCTTTTGGTACTCATGTGTTCCCTTTAAACATTTGCTTGGAGTTTTCTTTTTTAACCTTTTTTTGAAGAATCAATGACTTTCTGAAACATTGACTACTTCGGCTCTCACTTCAATACTCAATCACTGACACTTTTCTTCCCGAACAACACCTTAATATCTTGCAGTATTCCCATCATCGTTTCTAACCAAAGCACTCAATAAAAGGGCATTTAAGGGGTATGACTGACTAATCTGAAAGATTTTCTTATTCCAATAGCTCTGCTGTCATGAAACAAGTATTCTGATTTTTCTTTTCTTTTCTTGTACCTTTAACGGTTTTCAAGCCCTGTGCCCTTTTGTCAAAGATTTCATGAACTTACAGCTGTAAACTTTGGTCTTTCTAAATGTTTCTTTTATCACCAGGAGACCCATTTAGTTCCTCCAAGTCGAGAACATTCATCATAGAAGGTACACAGTACCCAAAGTCTCCATTTTGAATTCCGTGTCCAAAAAGGCATTTTATGGCACAGATAACGTTTTATCTTTACCATATAAGTGTTACCTTCCCACACCCCAGTGAAAAGAAAAAAAACAATCCATAAAATGCATTAAAAAAAAAATCCCCTTTAAGAACATCTTGCAAGTAAAATCCTATTTTATTTTACAATCCCTTTTACTGTTATCCCCATACCCTCTTTTTTCCCTTATTTGTGTATCATATCATTACTCCCTTAACTGGAATATATTTATTTTATATTATTTTGCATGGTATAAACAGGTTTGGACTTTCTTTTTTTCATTTTATTATTGCTTTGATATTTCTGCATCATCGGTGTTACGTTTGAGTGACCTTTTACTTCTTCTTAAGAGCACATTACCGTTGTTAGCACTTTAGTAATGTGAAGAGAATACTCAATGATGCTAACTGACCTTCAAGAAATACGAACTTGCATTTATTTATTTATGTGTTTTCTTGAAGAGTAGATCAATTGCTACAGCTGGGCAAAAAAAACCATTTCAATCAGGTTGTTTTTGTTATAATAAAATAAGCAAATTTAAGGAAGACCTCAAAATGTCGTAAAATTTGATTGTCAATGTTTTTATTCATCTACAGTCTCCTTTATCTCTTTTAAGGTTATAATGCTGAATTTTTGCCCACTTGGAGCATGTCTTTGTTTTGGTTGTATGGTTGAGTCTTTTTCTTACCCAAAGTGTATTGCTTTGATTTGCACCGGCGCACTACTTAGAATCCCTCTGGTATACTCCGAGGCTTGTTGGCATAGTTCTGTCTGACAATGCATGGAAGGATTTCCTGCTTTGGACGGATGTTTTTGCTTCTCTTAGCATGGGGCCTGTAAAAACGGGGGAGTTGTGCATGATGCAGAAAGTTGCAGTACGGGTTACGGAAAAGTGTTTCTAAAAATATTTTCAAAAACAAAGGTAAATGCTTCAATCGAGACACCTTGGTGTAGCGTGCAAATGGTCTTTGCAAATGTAATATGTATAATTTTAATTCAACGCACTTTGTGTGTGTTTTTGAAATTCTATTTTGTTTTTTCATGCCTTAAATAAATATTAATAATGGACTAAAGTTTAAGTAAATGCATGTTCTTTTCTTTATTTTTAGTTTCTTTGTGCAGTTATAGTTACAAAAGCTTTTGCTTTGCCAGTCTGCTTTTAGAAACACTTAAGAAGTCACAGTTGCATTTTGCAGTATGCCTTGCAAGCACTGTATAATGGGGATGTTACTTCCCTGTAAACAGTTTAACCATCCACCTCCATAACGCCTTTTGCGACATCACATCAATCTGATACACAAACTGTTACCCTAAATAACCCGGCTGAGTTTTACGGCCTAGTGTCTTGGTGGAATATATTTTAAAATATAATTCGCAATTTCTTTTTTTCTTTCTGTGTGATAGAATTTTGCTATTTTTTTTTTTATTATTTTTTTTTACTTTTAAAGGGGAACTATGAGGTGGGTGAAAATCACTCATCCTCATAGTTCGGGCCGACCTGTGACAATTAAACTGTCACACGTCGGCTCAATAGATCGGGAAGTAAGCGAACACATACTGGCGCACGCTCACTTCTCGATCATCTCCCTGCAGAGAGCCGTGACTATTACTCACGGCTCCGTGCAGGGATTCCCCCTCCCCGATCCAATCCTCTAGCACTGACTGGAAGAACGAGACGGGGTAGGGGCGGGTACAGCTGGCTCTGCCTCTAGATAGGCCGAGCCCGCTGTCACTGAGCTGTAGCTCGCGATATACTGAGCTTTGGGTCACAGGAGGAGGTTAGTATATATCCTCCCGTGACCCTTAAGAGCACTATGGGGAAAAACACTTACCCCATAGTTCTCTTTTAAGCATAACACTTAAAAATGCATGTATATTTAGTTTGAATTTTCCTGCGTATGCAAGTACATTAAATAATGAGGAATTTGTAATCTTGATCCATTAAACTGAATGATTTATATACACAAGACTTATTGATACAACCCCAGTTCTAAAAAAAAAAAAAAAAAGATACCATGGGGAAAAAATGTTGGCAGTGGCAATTTTTTCAATAGAAAACATATAAAATGTTTCAAGTGAAAAAATTTACCATTTTAGGGAAAAAAATAAGGTAATTTTGAAATTGATGGCAGCGACAGGGCAACAACAAGTTGGCAAAGTAAGTGGTACTAACAAGGAAGAGCTGGAGGAACATTTTGCAACTATTTAGATTACTTGGCAACAGAATAGTAATACGATTGGGTATAAAAAGAGCATCTTAGAGAGTCAGGGTGTCTCAGAAGTACAGATGGGCCGAGGTTCACCAATCTGCGAAAAGCTGCATCTAAACATTGCAGAACAATTTCAGAATCATGTTCCTCAACATAAAATTGCAAAGACATTAAATTATCATCTACAGTACCCTAAACGTCATCTCCGATCCTCCTAAGACTACTTGCTCTCTAGTTCCCACGTCATCTCCTCCCATGCTCACCTTCAGGACTTCTCTAGAGTCTCTCCCATTCTTTGGAACTCCTTACTCCAACCTGTCTGTCTATCCCATACTCTGACTGTCTGCCTTAAAGATCCCTAAAGACTCATCTCTTCAGGGAAGCCTATTCCACCTCAACCCGACCACTCAACCATCACGTTCTCAAACAATTCATCCCCACACAGCTACCTCCTCATGTATCACTTTGCCGTCCCCCTTAGATTGTAAGCCCTCAGGGGCAGGACCCTCCTTACCATTGTGTGTTGAATTGTATTGTAATTATAATGTCTTGCCCTATGTTGTAAAGCGCTGCACAAACTGTTGGCGCTATATAAATCCTGTATAATAATAATACATAATATCATCATAAGATGCCGAGTATCTGGAGAATTCTCTGTGCACAAGGGACACGGCCGAAACGTCTTATTTGTTTCTTAGAATGGTTCAGTCTGTCAGTTTAAACATTTTGTATGTTTTCTATTTTTTCCTTTGTGAATAAAATGCGGGTTCATGAGATTTGCAAATCATTGTGTTCAGTTTTTATGTAGATTTTACACAGCGCCCCAACTTTTTTGGAATTGGGGTTGTACACTATGTAAAAGTGTGTGGACACCCCTCCATATTGAGTTTAGGTGTTTCCAGTGAAGGTACTGGGGATGCTACACCAAGCAAAGATATTGTAAAAAACTGTGTCAACAGATGGGGGAAGATCCTTTTCTGCCCCAGCATAACTGTGCACTTCTGCACAAAGCCAGCTCCATACTGTCATGGCTTGATGAGCTTGGTGTGGAAAAACACTAAATTCTCTTGTAGCCATCACTCCAAGCACTCCACCACTCCTGTGATGGACTACAATCTCACATTTAGTTTACAAATTTGTATTGAGATTGTAGTCCATCACAGGAGCTAGCTTGTTCCCCATGGTCCCTGTGTATGTTGTAAAGTAGCCATCGCACCAAGCTCAATCACTCCTGTGATAGTCTACAATCTCATAATAATTTGTATTGACATTATAGTCCATCTTGGGACCAAGCTTGGAGCGGTGACTACTTTACAACACACACAGGGACCATGGGGAACAAAAGTAGCCACCCTCCAAATTTGAATTTCTTTGGAAGATCATAGTGTGCTGCTTCTACCATTTTTCCGGCTGTGGTATGTCCCTTGGCGTCCTCATGTCCAATGGACATGTATTAGAAAATGCTGACGGCACAAGTCCTTAGACCGCTGGATCTGGGATCCAGCGGTCTAAGGACCTGTGACGTCAGCATGTCTAATGCATGTGGACATGAGGACGTCAAGGGACATGCCACAGCCAAAGCTCAGGGTAAAGAGGCTGCAAGGACCAGCCTAGCAGCCAGGAGGGACCAAGAATCTGGTCATTCTTCTTTTATTTTTGCCCCTAGACCAAATCGAGACATTAACCCTTGCAATGTGAGGGTTAGCCCGACTGCAAGAGTAAAAGTGACACTAAGCTCAGGAGTTAAATCCTAAAGATACAGTCAAGTTCCCTAACTATTAATAAAAATGTATCCTATTTGTTTAACACCCAGCTGGAGATCCTCAAATAATCTCTGAATTGGTGCTGACACTGTCCTTCCTTCTGGAGGGGGGCTACCTTTGTTCCCTATGGTCCCTGTGTGTGTTGTAAAGTAGCCACTGCTCCAAGCTCACCCCCGTGATGGACTACAATCTCATGTTTAGTTCACTAATTTGTATTGAGATTGTAGTGCATCCCGGGAGTGAGCTTGGAGTGGTGACTGCTTTACAACACACACAGGGACCATGGGGAACAAAAGTAGACCCCCTCCAGAAGGAAGGACAGTGTCAGCACCAATTCAGAGATGATTTGAGGATCTACAGCCGAGTGATACACAAATAAGATACATTCTTGTTAATAGTTAAGGTACCTGAATAGATTTTTAAGATTTAACTCCGGAGTTTAGTCTCATTAGATGTTTGAATGGCCCAATATATTCCTAGACTTTCTTTGCCAAACTGTTGTTTACCACACCCATTTCATATATGACTTCAAAAGATGTCATTAACATATGGATAGCTAAGAGCTGATCAGCTGAAAGAAAATCATAAGGATTTTAACTTGTTTATATATAAATGTTCAATCACAAATATACACGCTAGCTACAACTAGAGATATTTTTGCCGGTTTTGGATCAAGGTACGGTTACTGACAATGTTCCTCGCCTGTCAACAAACACAGCAAGTCGATTTCTCCACTTTGAAATAGGATTCTTCACATTATTGAACCTAAAATCTATTTTTGTTTTAAATTATTCATAGACCCAGCCCCCCATACACTTCTCATGTGATTCCCACATCCCCAAAGGTTATGGATATCCACGGTTAAAAACCGCTGGTTTAGAGGGTCTGACGTGTAAACTGTTTTGGTTTAACTAATTATTGATTGATTCTGCAAAATTAACATCAGTACAGCTGTCTGCGAAGGTTCTCATTCATCCAGGTCATGGTATATCTGTAAGACGTTTCACTGGACATCCAGTGAAAGACGTTTCACTGGACATCCAACCAGCTTTCTGAATTGAATTGAGATTGAGAAAACTGGTCGGATGTCCAGTGAAACGTCTTCAAGAAAAATACAGCAAGTCCAGTTGACTTGACTGATTTTTTTACAGATATATCAGTACAGCTATTTTTTTTGTTTAACATTTTGAGAATTTAGAACAGACCAGCAGGGAATATCGTTGCCGTTATATGACTAAGTGGTTGAAATTGAACTTTCTTGTATTTCGTATTGTAAGAGAAGGCTTTGTATGTTTCTCTGGTGATGACTTGAAGCGGATACAGAAGTTTGTGTTTCTTCTCCTGAATCTTGACCTAATTTATAAAAAAAAACACTCTTTAAAATAAGATCAAGGTGTGTGTTTTTCATTAGCACCTAGGTAGCACAATAAAAATGGGTACATTTGATAGCATTACTACATCTAGGGGCCATTGTAGGCTCTGGCATGGGAATGTTGAATGGGAAGAGGGTGTTGCTTACCCCCAGGAGGAGTCGGGCCTGATGCTGTTTAGTTGAGACCTTGTGCACAGATTGGGCCTGAACACAAGGGGGAGGACTGGGCCTCGGGGAAGAATTTTAAAGATCAGAATGGCTGGCATCCAAAGGTGCCAGCACTTTAGGGGGGTATTGTTCACTTAGCCAGTGTTAAGGATCTGAGTGTTAATATTAAGTCTATTTTTAAAATAAAATATGCAGATTATAAAAGAAAAAATGGATGGGGAGAAATAAGTAGTGATCTAGACTTTTTAATTAATTACATATAGCCCAATTATAAAAGATAACGGTTGCAGACTTCTGGTGTTCTCTGAATTTCAGCATCCTGACATTCAGGAGTCAGAGAGCTTTCAGGAAGACCGATCATTGATGGATTGTAACAGCTATTTCACAGCATTCTATATGCAGCTTCCTTAGACTAGAGTTCTGGTTCCGAGTACAGTTGCTGCATTGGTGCCAATTTATAACTTTGCCTTGTGCTGTAAAAAATATATATATTTGTCTTGGTGGATTTTTGAGCCTTTTGAAAATTGGTAATCTTGCCTTTCTTGATACCAGCTTTGCGTTTGCTTGAATTTTTAAAACTCTTCATCTTTCTTGGCCGTGCCGAAGATTTACAAAATACGCATTTTTGGTATTGCTCATGCACATTAATCGGTTACCTATGGGTGTAGATTGGTTACATTGCTTGCAAGATGTCCTTGCAGCATTTCTCTTTCACATTGTGGTAGTTTTAGCTTTCTGCATGGTATGAGTCATCTGTATATGTTTAACCAAGTTTTTACTGTCCCATCTTCCCTTCGTTATTTCCTCTGCAGAAACCGTTCGAGCCATGACGCATGTCATTAACCAAGGAATGGCAATGTACTGGGGCACCTCACGATGGAGCTCTATGGAAATAATGGTACTTTTTTTTTTTCATTTCCCCCATTATAACTCTGCATGATTTGTCATTGCTAAAGAAACAGAACATGTAAATGGCAAGCAGCTGCCTGTTTGGCTGACTTTACACACTAAGCTAGCGGGCTAAAGCTGGCCAAAGACGCTAAATATGGAAACATATGTCCAGCTCACAATGTGTCACAGGTCTAATGCAGATGGTGGTTGCCCCAGGTCCATTAAGCCAGGACCTCTGTTTATCATCACAGTGATCAGGGATCCCCAAACTCTGGTGTCTGTTGGATGGTAGTCCATTGTGCAGCTTCCTGGTTGGTAACTGTTCTGGCTCTTCCTTCCCTCTGTACTTTCCTTTTCGCCACTGACACCACTTGTTGCATTTGGCAGCCAATAGGCAGGTGCAGAGAGCAGGAGTATACTGGCCAGTTGTGGAGCAGCAAGCTGTGTGGTTGAAAATTGACTAATAGAGTGCTAGAACTTGGGGGATTCCCAGGTGCTATGAAGGTATGCCAAGGTAACGTGAGCCCGTAGCTTCTCTTTAAAAGCTGTTAAGATAAAATGTCATCCACGCTGGGCTTTCAGGGATTGGGTAAAACCATTGACTATAGAGAAATATTTTTAAAACACTGTACATTTGCTTTAGAGTCTGTGCTGATGTGCTTTTTTTCCCCATCAGATAGGGTTTGCATTACTTTACCTGTCTATAGGAATGCAAAACCTATTTAAAGCAGATAAAATGTAGGTCAGAAGGTCAGCCAGGGATGAAATGTACCTGTCAATAAATTCTGAATGTTCTCAGAAGGTCCTCAAGCTGATGCCATCTCCAAAAATCTCAAAGCCTGTCAGTACGGGTCCTTCAGCTGACCATACTTTTAGATCTGCTATGGTTGGGTTGAATTGCACAGAAATTTGAAAATGTACGTCTAAACCTTAAGTGTGTATTAGAAGAAAATGGCTTTTATTTTCATTTTGGCTACATTTTACTTGCTGCAGTGTCAGCTGCAAACTATTGCTCAGGACCGGCTTTGTGATCTTGCCAATGGTGGGCCATGCGGAGCATGACCAACTGTAGTCTACACCAGGGGTACGTGTGACAGGGTGACAGTGCAGGGGCACAATTGGGGGGACAGTTGTTATCCCAGAACAAAGACCTTTATATCAAAATCATCAGTTACTCTTTGAATTAAAGTTGCAGATTTCAAAAGATTAAAAATCGCTCCCTTTGTCCTATATAAAGAATAACTTGAAGTGTTACCAAAACACGCACTGTACTCAAACATCACAGGTTGCGGACAGATGCACCACAGTTGCTGTCCTGGCAAGGGCCAGCCTTGTTCTGTCCGCAACCTGTCCATGGAAAGCCTGAGACAAGACAATTGAAAGATATTACAGCTGGAAGAAAAGTGGACTTTTGGCTAAAAATAAATATTAGATACAAACATAAAAAAGAGAGTTGACGTTGAGTTGGGCAGACAAGAGCTAGTTACAGTTAAATGCTTCCAGAAGATGTGCAGCTTAATTATTTTTGGAGTCGAGTGAGCATTTTTCCACTACATGGGACAGCGGACTAGATTGAACACAGAATATATGTATATAGCACACAATGTATATGTTTCACAAACTTCAGATATGTTTTAGTTTTATATATGCACCAGCAGTTTGATGCGCGGTAGCACATTTTGCAACCCCCCCCCCCACTTCCCTCTCCCCTCCTTATATTTTCTAGCCCATGTCACACTATGAAAGACTATTAGGTTTCAAATGCTGACAGTACATCTTATTGTATCATTGATTAACACAGATATATTTATATCATGTTAGCAGAATTGTTTTCTTTCCCTTTATTAACTTAAAAGCAAGTGGGAAGCCATGGAGAAGGAAATACAGGAAATCGAGAGAACACCGGTCTTTGTGGCAGTCTAAAATATTTATCGGAGCTTTTATGGTGGATTATTTTACTATGATATCATTCATATTACTAAGTGATGTAATAATTATAGTAGGCAAAATATTTCAATATATATATAGGATTCCATTTTCTATATGTGTAATCAGCCCTGAAGAATGGGATGCAGAGTCCTAAAAAAACATCAGCCTAAATTTTTAACAAATATTTTAGATTTCCACAAAGACCCCCTCAATTCCCTATAGTTAGGAAACCCATGCACAATACATTTTTTATACTTCGTAGTAGGGATGTTCAGATACCAGTGCCGATACTAGCAGATACCAGTGCAGGACTACCGAGGTGGCAGCGCTTGTAGCTGGGACCGGGCTCTGGCGCTCCACCACTGTCCTGAAATCATTAGTCTGTATTGTTTTAGAAAAACTGTCACATGACAATAAACAAAAATGTATCAGTACTTGTATCTGTGAGTACTTGGGCAAGTATCAGTACTTGCACTTGCAAAAATGGTATTGATGCATCCTTATATATATTTATAAAAAAACAATCATACATTATAACAGGGATACACAAATCCCACAAGCTCTGTGTGCTCCTTACAAATGACAGCTGCCTCCTAACTTTTGAATTTTTCTCTAGTCTAGTCTTAGAGCTGGAAAAGTATCTGTACTTGTACCGAGTACGGTACTTGGTATCTGAACATCCCTACTTAGTAGGGCTCACCCTGGGCACTTAGCTGCCATTGTTTTTCTGATGAATCTATTTTATCCACTTCTGTGGATTACTTCCAGTTTCCATATTAAAATAGATGCAAACCTCACCGGAAGACCTATAGTTTGCTCTGTCTACTATGCATCATTTTCATGAATTACTGTTTTCTTTTTTTTGTTAAGTTTATTAGTTTTTGCTGCTAATGCTCCTCCGGCCCCTTTCAACCACTTCCTGTCTATATGCACTCTCTACAGTGTCGGGTGCACATCATTATTCTGGATCAGCTTCCCCATAATGACAATAGTAGATCATGCCTGCACATTGTGTGTCAGTGCAGCCAGTTGTAGACTACCATCTAAAGCATGTGCGAAAGGGTGACAACAGGGGTATAGCTGGCAGGCAGCTGTCACTCCATAACAAGTACCTGAGAGCAAGGCTCTTCTAGCAGGGTCACCAGGGATTATTCTTATGAAAGCTGCCTGTACTGCATACTGGAAATTACATCACATGTTTAATCTTAGATGAGATTTTATTGATTGGATTTAGATCTACTTTGAGTCTGTTTCTGTATATTATTTACAAGGCTTCCCCCCCCAATAGGTCCTGTTTTGGTTGACTTGCAGATTACAGAGAACCAGAACAATGAGACATTCACAGTTCATTCTCTCTTTGCTTGTAGGAAGCATACTCCGTAGCACGGCAGTTTAATCTGATCCCTCCCATCTGTGAACAAGCCGAATATCACATGTTTCAAAGGGAGAAGGTAGAAGTCCAACTTCCGGAGCTGTTCCACAAGATCGGTAAGGTGCTGCCCCATATAGAGATTAATGGGTTTATTAAAAGGGAACTTGTCATGGAAGCTTACGGGCTACAATTGCTGAATTTTGCTTTGATGAATGCTACTTTCCTGGCTGTCACGCAGACCAATACTCTTCTTAGTGGCAGTCATAGTCACCAAATGGCCCATATGGAAGAACGATTCTTGGGCCCTGCATTCAACAAACACTTTGTATGGGTAGCTGCAGATGAGGCTTAGCCTTTGTGATACCCTGGACTCTCATGGTCTAGAACAGGGCTCAAAATTTCAAGTCCTGAGCTACTAGCAAGGCCTTAAGAGTTACTCGCCACCAGTCGCCCCACCTGACCCCTACCGTGCACCGCCCTTAACTCCGCCAGGTCAGTGGTGTGACACAGAGAACAGAGATCAGTAACAATGCAGAGTGCAGAGGCCAGATATAAAAAGAAGTGGTGGAAGATTCTTGCATGTGGCAGCGCCAGTTTTTATTGGCTTATACCACTTGGACATAATAAATCAGGAGCATTATAAGGCGTACCTCTTGCTTCTGTTTCTGCCCTAGAAGTGAGCAACGCCCAGGTCAACATAGAAGCAAGTGATGTCTCAGCACCTGCCTGACCCACATCTAGTATAAATGGGCCCCCAAGTCCCAGAGGACCTCTATGCAGCTCCACAAATCTTAAGTGCCCTCACCTTGTTTGTGCACTGGCCAGTTGGCTGCATAATGGCAGCTGCTGACCCAAGTGTGATGCTGCTGTAGTCTCCTTCATGTCCCTTAGAGGAAACCATTAAAGGGGGTTAGCAGATGGGTGGGAAGTTTTCAATTCCTGGAAACAAATGGAGATTTACCCCCAAGAACTTTAGCATTGTAAGATTTTCCCAATCTTTAAAACCTCTCTCTGTGTTACCGTTTTGATCTTTGGTTGACGCCTGCCACAAGCAGTCGAACAAAGAAAAAAGTTGTGTTATAGTCCTTCACCATTTAAAATGAGTGTCAGAATATTACTGGAACCTATACATATATTTCTTCTCTTTCAGGTGTAGGGGCTATGACGTGGTCACCGCTGGCTTGTGGGATAGTTTCTGGAAAATATGACGGTGGAATTCCACCATATTCCAGAGCATCACTGAAGGTTTGCCATTTTTTGTTAAAGTATAGCTTTATAATATTACATTTTACATAATTGTTTTTTAATGTTGCAAGGCATTTTAAGTTATAGTGGGGTCAGTTGATATCTTCGGGTTCTGTATACTGCTTCCAGCATTTATTCACACCTTTATCAAATCTTGGTTCCAGTTCTCCTAACAGTGAATGTTTTTCTACTTTGCGCTTATAGGCTCACAGATGAGATACTTAGTGGTGTTAATTGATGTGCTTTGTCCCTGCCCGATAGTGTGGAAAACATGCTGCTTTTGGGCCTTTAAGACTGGCCTTATACTAAGTCAGAGACTTTGTGGCGTTGGGTTCAATATTTGTATATTACAGGTACAAATAAAACACCCATTAATTCTTCATCATTTATCAATATTTTTTCAGCATTGTCAATCTCCCTAGTCCAGACAAAATTATTATTATTGGTATTTATATAGTGCTGACTTTTACACAGCACTTTACATTGTGCACATTCACACCAGTCCTTGCCCTCAATCTTAGGTCCCTATCTCACATGCATACATACGAGGGCCAATCTATACAGGAACCAATTAACCTACCAGCATGTCTTTGGAGTGTGGGAGGAAACCGAAGTACCTGGAGAAAACCCACACATGCAAACTGCTTGTAGATAGTGACCTGGCTGGGATTCAAACCAGGGACCCCCAATGCTACAAGGCAGAAAAAATCCAATTAACTGAAAATCTCTATGCATAAATGAGCTGTGCATAGAGCAATATTCCAGGTTTTGAATCCAAAAACAGTCATGGTGCTAGGAGATTATTCTTGCATCAAGAGTCCACTGGATACACAAAACAAGCATCCAACAAGACATGGTATTCCAAGCATTGAAGCAAATAACTCAACAAAGTGCTAAAGTGTTTGTAATGCAATAAAGATATGCGAGATCAATATCGGATAGGTTTTTGGAATATTGTGCTATATACAGCTCATTCATGCATAGAGATATTCAGTGCATAGGATGTTGTCCAGGCTTTGCTAATTTATGACAATGTTGTTCATTTTTAAATTAAGAAGATTAACAGGTGTTTTCTGTAGATTCTGCTTTTGTACTGTGGTATTAATGAATTGCATCTTCATCCAAACCACATAATGCCTCATAGTTTAACCACTGTAGTATTCCTGTACCCTCAGGTATTTACATCAGTGCCATGCTTAGGGTGGATATATATATTATTATTTTTTTGATCGATCAAAATTATTTTGATCGGTACTCACCTCTCTGCCGGCTTCCGGGTCTTCCGTCGGCGTTCCGGTGACGTCACGGACATCGACGTCACCGGACTCCTTCCCCAAGTGGCTCTGTCGGCTAACGAAGGGAAGGGGGGAGGAGTCCGGTGATGTCTATGTCCGTGACGTCACTGGACTCCTCCCCCTTCCGACGATAAGCATGTCGATATGAGGTATGTCCCAGAATCTTTACTAGTTAATAGGCAAAGGAAGAAGGACCCATATTTTGGTAAACCATTGATAAGTACAGTCTGATTTGAGATAATCACTCATAATACTTTATTATGGGTTTTTTTTATGCTGCACCATTTCTTACGTATTTACTTTGAAGCATTTGCAAATTCTTTTTCATAAGTCAACTTAAAGCAACATGTTGTCCATTTTATTTACCACTTTTGTGCTTACATCTTTAGCTTTAAAATAAACCACTTTATTTTAGGATTCTGGTGATTGAAAGCAGCAGGAGGTGGGTGCAATAGCTAGTTTGCTATAGGCTATTGCAAAGTGAAATAGCAATAGGAATCTAGCTATGCATTCTTATGTCTTTTTTTTTATTCTGACGACTGCAACTGGCAGAATACTAAAAAAAATGTTTTAAAAAGTCTGCAGGTAGCAAAGAAGCTATTGCTTCCTGTGCTATATGCCATCATTTTAGGGGGTTGCTCTCTCCCAGCCCCCCCTAACCACCCCCTCCGCGGATAGGGGGTGAGGGGGAGAGGGCACCTCCCTGAAATGAGAGGGACGCCTCCCTGAAATTGCTTATTTCAGGTTGGGATCCCTGGCATTGGCCTATACACATACAGCACAGCAATGAAGTAATAAAATGAACCAGGATCACACTAATCCAGCACGTTATTATTCTGAGTTGCCCCACTCAAGCGGCAGCCATATTGAGTGGGGCACGTGAGATTAAGAACGTGCTGGATTAGTGTGATCCTAGTTCGTTTTATTACTTCATTGCTGTGCTGTATGTGTATAGGCCAATGTAGTTGGATCCATATGTACGTTATAATCGATTAAAAAAATTTTTGATTAATCGAACACAAAAATGTTAATCATTACCAGCCCTAATATATATATATATATAATATATATATCTAAAGCATGTATACTCTAAGGATCCTGCTCTGGATTGTCAATGGTTGGGTTACACTTGGTACAGGCTGAAGATAATTATGACACTGGAGAAGAGAGCCCATGTTAAAAGCATTGACTTGTGATGTACTATTGATGCTTCCCAGAAGCCACTTGTCCATAAATAGCTTATATGTTCAGGACTTCCAGTAAACGTTGTCTTATACTTAGCTGTGTATAATTTTCCAGGGTTATCAGTGGTTAAAGGACAAGATATTGAGTGAAGAAGGAAGACGGCAGCAAGCTAAACTGAAAGAGCTTCAAGCCATCGCAGAGCGTTTGGGCTGCACGCTTCCACAGTTAGCCATTGGTGAGTCTAGCTGTACAAATACCTTCATAATAAGCCTGGAAGTAAAGAAGAGCTTTCCTATATGTGGTTTGCTGTAAATGGGGAAGACCGCTTTCCAGGCAAACTGCACTCTGAGTGATGTTGTGCTTGTCTTGTCCAAAGTGGACTGCAAAGATCCTTAAAAGAGAACTATGGGGTAAGTGTTTATCCCCATAGATCTTTTAAGTGTCACGGGACCTAAAGCTCAGCACTGGAGGATCGGAGCGGGCACCTGCAGTGACTGACCATCACGGCTCTCTGCAGGGAGATGATCGAGAAGTGAGCGAGCGACGGTATACGTTTACTCACTTCCTGATCTATTGAGACGACGTGTGACAGTTTCATTGTCACACGTCGGCTCTCACTATGAGGCTGAGTGATTTTCACTCACCTCATAGTTCTCCTTCAATGGCAAGGACAGGATAAAATATATGATGCTTGCCTCAGATCAGGCAAAGCTGCCTGATAAATTATAGCTTTAGAAATGGTGGCAATGTTAACAATTTTGAGATACCACTAAGATAGTAAAACATGTTAAAAATATAACATTTTAGTCAGGTTTATATGGCTGTATCACTGATAGGCTCAGTCCTGAAACTGCATCCGTGTTGGACTCTACCGCATCCAAGATCAACTCAACATCACATTGGCTTTCAGTTGTGGTGTGCACATTACTAAAGACATTTGTTCTGTTTGCAGCCTGGTGTCTGAGAAATGAGGGCATCAGTTCGGTGCTGTTAGGAGCTTCTAATGCTGACCAACTCCTGGAGAATATTGGAGCAATACAGGTTGGTCCTCTACTACCAAACTATAGTGAATCTGCACTCTTTGCATGATACTTGATTTTAAGAAAACCTGTAATGAGGGAGATTTGTAGGCAGTCATTGTGGACTTTCCTCTAAAAATAACTTGTTGTCTGGCTGTCATGCTGATCTGTGGCTTCCCTGAACTAGTATGCAGCAAGTGACGTTGAAACGTCTAACCCTCACAGCTGCTCCAGTTCCGTGACTCTTCATATCGAAGCCATGCATGGTAGCACCTTCAAAAGAAGGTCAACATTGGAAGCCTACATATTTGTCTGGCAGTTCTACTTTTAACATCCTTTGAACTTTGCATGTTGTTTGAGCCAGCAGGTCTGTGAAGACTATGTTCTCCTTCATGATGAAGCCAAATTTAATTAATCGTTGAGATCCATAGCAGAGATCCAGGCAATGATTATTGAAGATGTATCCATGAAATGTCTTTTCTGAAGGATCTGGAGATTAGTAAATAGTTAAGAAGAGGATTAAATCTTTGAAAAGTTCCATCACCCAATTTAATGTTCCTTTTACTTCCATTTTCTTGCAACTGGACCTTGACATCCATCTCTGTGTAGAATACTCACATTTTCACTTCGAGGTTCGATGTCCCTGAAAACTTAAGTTTGAGGTTAGATGACCACAGAATGTAGTAAAGTCGAATAAAAAAGATTGTCAGGATAGAAGTAGTAGACATTTGCAGCCTGGCTTGAAATCCTTTTAGGCCTATTTACACTATTTAATGGTGCACTGCAATAAAATGGGCTGCCATCCCAAATGAATGTTCTGTCTTACTTGACAATAAAATTGGATGTGCACTTTTGCATTGTTGCTAATGTGAGGCACATTGTGTGTGTTGTGGTGCTGTAAACGGTGTGTTACCACATTGCAACTGTCTGAATGGGCTCTTAAAGAACTCCAGGCAGATATAAAAACAATACTAATTATAATCATTACACTGGACCGACTTTCTGATAAATGGACCATGCCTGTGCACTGTGTCGGCTGGCCGCCAGAGGTGTGTGTGATGGGGTTTTCAGTAGGGATGCACAGATACCGGCATTTTGATACTGACTACAATTACCGATACTTTTTTCCCGCTACTCGCCGATACCAATTACCGGAAGTCCCATTCAGGAGGCCAGGTGGCGTGTAAAGACTCGCCACCCGGCTTCCCGATTAACAAGAAAGCCGTCCCATACGAATCCCCATAATAACAATCGTATGATCCAGCATGTCTCTGCAGTGCGGATCTCCCTCTCACCTCGGCATGTCCAGCCTGTCACACCCGGGGCCTCTCAGCCAGGAGCGGCCTTCCTCCGGTACCCACCCGGAGCCGTCTTGCTGGCCAATCATTCACACGTTAAAGCTTGTATGAGGTTCTAGTGATTAGGTTTACATATACTTTAATATTGTGTTTTGTAGGCCATACAAATTGTATCGATCTGACTTTGCTCTTCTTCTTTCACTGTCACAGGTCCTTCCAAAACTATCGTCTTCTATTATACACGAGGTTGATAGTATTTTAGGCAACAAGCCATATAGCAAAAAGGACTACCGATCCTAATGCAGGAAGCTGTATTTCTGGACTGTCCTAGTTCTGCTCCAGTTCTTCTACTTGCTTGCTTTAAGCTTTACTCAATCCAAGTGGAGTGTGGTCGTATCAACAAAAAAAGAAAAAACACAACATTTCCAGAAAACTGTTCAAAAAGTATTATAAATGTGAAAATACCATGCGCTTAATGTATCCAAATCTCTGCTAATTTGTTTAGCTGCACAGCAAGTAGTTACATAGGGCGGGCACTGTCTGTGGAAGCAGGATACCTTTTTTTTTTATGGGCACTCAATTCCGTGGGGGCTGATGTCTTGTAATCTGAAGAAGTATGTTAGTAGCCAATAAAGTTACGAGGGACGATTGACATCACAGATACCCCTGTCTCATTAGGGCAAACCTTAAAGTGCAAGGTCACATTATTCGATCTGGGCCACCTCCCCCTGTAAAAATTGCTGCTTGATAACAGTTGAAAGATGTACCTGCAAGAAATATGTTGTACTATATACTTATTCAACCCTTGTTTGTATATTGTAGGGAATTACATCACTATCATCCTGGGGCGAGAGTCCTGGGGAATGAAGAGTACCCAACTCTTGCAAGCAGACATTCTAGTCCATTGGAAGAGTGTTGTCTTGGGGGTTTTATGCCTTTATCATTCCTAAGATATTGCCTGAAGCAGTGTGAGGTCAACCTTTGCCTTATCATAGATCTCACCAGGAGACATTGAGGGGAATTCATCAAAACTGGAGCAGCTGTGCATGGCAACCAATCAGCTTCTCTCTTTCCTTTTCAAATCTTAACTGAAGAGAGAAGCTGATTGGTTACCATGTACAGCTGCTCCAGTTTTTGTCTGCTCCAGTTTTGATAAATCCCCCCCCCCCATTGTTTGCTCAGTGTATTTATTTGTCATAAATAAGCAACATTTCGGAGCCTACACAACATCTCCTTCATCAGGCAGCGGTAACCTTATCACTCCATGTTGCCTGATGAAGGAGATAATGTTTGAGTGCCAAAGAGTTGCTTATATATGACAAATAAAAGGCTCTTATTGAGCATTTGATATGCTGGTGATAACTTTGATTGATGTCAGGATAATGATGCCAACTCTTACAAATCACTACAGCACTTGTCTTTACAAGGTTTGGAGGGCACCATATCTTCTGCTCTATGGTCACCCTTGGCTAGATACTGCTGGTAGAAGACGGGTAAGATAAGGTATATAATATAATATGGGTTTCTTTATGGGTACATTTCTCAAGTATTATTAGGCAGCAATATTTACAGAGGAAGGGGACCTGGATCTAATAAAGGGACCTTGAAGGTTGCTGTTTTTTTGTTTCGTGCATTACTAGATGTCACTGGATGGGATATACACTAAATGCACAAAATGGCAGCCGCTATGCGAGTGATCGACGCACTCCTATTTGTTCAGCTTGGTGAACTCGCGCCTAATTTGAGCATTTCATTGACTGGACTGTTTAAGACAGAAATCGGGGCTGTTACTTTAGGGAAACGCTCTGGTTGCGTATCAATACGTAGCCCATACTCATTCTGTTAATCTCGGGGAGAAAGAACTGGAATTTTACATGTGAAGAAGTCTTTAACTCTGCTTTAAATCTTATACCTCATTGAGGGAAACAAGTCTTGTTTAACAGCTTGATTTTATTTTTTCCTCAATTTTTATATTTTTTTTGCAAGTGTCTTTAATAACAGTCTTAGAAATATGTACATTTTAATTCTGGGTTGCTATGGGTTTTTTTTTTTACACTGTGTCTCAATCAGGGATGAGCAATGTTTGTCCTGGTGATCTGCTGTTGCGGCCTAGTTGACGGTTTGAATCCCCTCAGCAGAGCCAGTCAGTATTTTGCGTTTAGAACAAACCATCTTTTTTTGGCATTTATGTCGGGATCTTCTTTATTTCCGTTGATGGAATCGGAAGTAAACCTTTGCATATCTGTTTAGTCATATCTTTGTCACAGACTTGAAGTTAACCTTAAGAAAACAGAGTTTTGCTGGGGGGTTTTTTTTGCCTACTAAGAGACGCTTGCACTAGACTGATGATTAACTGATTAAATGTACAGGCCCGGATTTACTCTCTCTGCTGCCACAAGGCCAGGTTCCTCAATGCGCCCCCCAAACCCTCCCGCCCCCCCCC